CATCAACTTCAACTTCGACATCCACTTCAACATCAACTTCAACTTCAACATCAACTTCAACTTCAACTTCAACTTCAACATCAACATCAAAATCATTCAACATCAACTTCAACTTCAACTTCAACATCAACTTCAACATCAACTTCAACTTCAACTTCAACTTCAACTTCAACTTCAACTTCAACTTCAACTTCAACTTCAACTTCAACTTCAACATCAACTTCAACATCAACTTCAACATCAACTTCAACATCAACTTCAACTTCAACTTCAACTTCAACTTCAACATCAACTTCAACTTCAACTTCAACTTCAACATCAACTTCAACATCAACTTCAACTTCAACTTCAACTTCAACTTCAAATTCAAATTCAAATCCAACATCAACTTCAACTTCAACATCAACTTCAACTTCAACTTCAACTTCAACATCAACATCAAATTCAACATCAACTTCAACTTCAACTTCAACATCAACTTCAACATCAACTTCAACATCAACTTCAACTTCAACTTCAACTTCAACTTCAACTTCAACTTCAACATCAACTTCAACTTCAACTTCAACATCAACTTCAACTTCAACATCAACTTCAACATCAACTTCAACATCAACTTCAACTTCAACTTCAACTTCAACTTCAACATCAACTTCAACTTCAACTTCAACTTCAACATCAACTTCAACATCAACTTCAACTTCAAGCTTCAACATCAACTTCAACTTCAACTTCAACATCAACTTCAGCTTCAACTTCAGCTTCAACTTCAGCTTCAGCATCAACTTCAACATCACATCAGCTTCAACATCAGCTTCAGCTTCAACTTCAACATCAACTTCAACTTCAGCTTCAACTTCAACTTCAATTTCAACTTCAAATTAACTGGCTTCAACTTCAACATCAACTTCAACATCAACTTCAACTTCAACTTCAACATCAACTTCAACTTCGACATCCACTTCAACATCAACTTCAACATCAACTTCAACATCAACTTCAACTTCAACTTCAACTTCAACATCAACTTCAACATCAACTTCAACTTCAACTTCAACATCAACTTCAACTTCAACTTCAACTTCAACATCAACTTCAACTTCAACATCAACTTCAACTTCAACATCAACTTCAACTTCAACTTCAACTTCAACATCAACATAAACTTCAACATCAACTTCAACTTCAACATCAATTTCAACTTCAACTTCAACATCAACTTCAACTTCAACTTCAACATCAACTTCAACATCAACTTCAACTTCAACTTCAACTTCAACATCAACTTCAACTTCAACATCAACTTCAACTTCAACTTCAACATCAACTTCAACTTCAACATCAACTTCAACATCAACTTCAACATCAACATCAACTTCAACATCAACTTTAACATCAACTTCAACATCAACATCAACTTCAACTTCAACATCAACTTCAACTTCAACATCGACTTCAACTTCGACATCAACTTCAACATCAACTTCAACATCAACATCAACTTCAACTTCAACTTCAACATCAACTTCAACTTCAACTTCAACTTCAACATCAACTTCAACTTCAACATCAACTTCAACATCAACTTCAACTTCAACTTTAGCTTTAACTTCAACTTCAACTTCAACATCAACATCAACTTCAACTTCAACTTCAACTTCAACATCAACATCAACTTCAACATCAACTTCAACATCAACATCAACTTCAACGTCAGCTTCAACTTCAACTTCAACATCAACTTCAACTTCAACATCAACTTGAAGATCAACTTCAACATCAACTTCAACATCAACTTCAACATCAACTTTAACATCAACTTCAACATCAACTTCAACTTGAACATCAACTTCAACTTGAACATCGACTTCAACTTCGACATCAACTTCAACATCAACTTCAACATCAACTTCAACTTCAACTTCAACATCAACTTCAACTTCAACATCGACTTCAACTTCGACATCATCTTCAACACAACTTCAACTTCAACTTCAACTTCAACATCAACATCAACTTCAACTTCAACATCAACTTCAACTTCAACTTCAACATCAACTTCAACATCAACATCAACTTCAACATCAGCTTCAACTTCAACATCAACTTCAACTTCAACATCAACATCAACTTCAACTTCAACTTCAACTTCAACATCAACTTCAACTTCAACTTCAACTTCAATTTCAACTTCAAATTCAACTTTAACTTCAACATCAACTTCAACTTCAACATCAACTTGAACATCAACATCAACTTCAACATCAGCTTCAACTTCAACATCAACTTCAACTTCAACATCAACATCAACTTCAACTTCAACATTAACTTCAACTTCAACTTCAACATCAACTTCAACTTCAACTTCAACTTCAACTTCAACATCAACTTCAACATCAACATCAACTTCAACATCAGCTTCAACTTCAACTTCAACATCAACATCAACATCAACTTCAACTTCAACATCAACTTCAACTTCAACTTCAACTTCAATTTCAACTTCAAATTCAACTTTAACTTCAACATCAACTTCAACTTCAACATCAACTTCAACTTCAACTTCAACATCAACTTCAACTTCGACATCCACTTCAACATCAACTTCAACATCAACTTCAACATCAACTTCAACTTCAACTTCAACATCAACTTCAACTTCAACATCAACTTCAACTTCAACTTCAACTTCAACATCAACTTCAACTTCAACATCAACTTCAACTTCAACATCAACTTCAACATCAACATCAACTTCAACTTCAACTTCAACTTTAACATCAACTTCAACTTCAACATCAACTTCAACTTCAACATCAACTTCAACATCAACTTCAACTTCAACATCAACATCAACTTCAACATCAACATCAACTTCAACTTCAACATCAACTTCAACATCAACTTCAACTTCAACTTCAACTTCAATTTTAACATCAACTTCAACTTCAACATCGACTTCAACTTCAACTTCAACATCAACTTCAACTTCAACTTCAACATCAACATCAACTTCAACATCAACTTCAACTTCAACTTCAACTTTAACATCAACTTCAACTTCAACATCGACTTCAACTTCGACATCAACTTCAACATCAACTTCAACTTCAACACCAAGTTCAACATCAACTTCAACTTCAACTTCAACATCAACATCAACATCAACATCAACTTCAACTTCAACTTCAACTTCAACTTCAACATCAACTTCAACTTCAACTTCAACTTCAACTTCAACATCAACATCAACTTCAACTTCAACTTCAACTTCAACTTCAACTTCAACTTCAACATCAACATCAACTTCAACTTGAACTTCTTTATTCTCATAAAACCACCATCGGTGGTACAAGAACAAAGAATATACAATATTTACAAATGTACATTAACATAAACATGCGTCATGATGATGAGTTATTTAGGTAACAATTTATACAAGTGAGAGATAAAAAGTGATAAACATTTGCTAAGTATAAAATTGACAGGCTACATGACTTTGTTAAGAGTTGATAAACTGGCCCATTTGTGATATTTTTGGGGGATGAATGATTCCCTGAAAGAATTAAGTGATGTACATTTAAAAAGATAATGGAATTCGTCACCAACTAAATTACAGTTACATAGTTTACAATAATCTTTCTTCTCTCGGTATGTTCTGCCATCTGCCGGTTTCGATCGGAAAGTTTAGATTTGAGGTTCTAAATTTCATAACTGCGGTATATGTAGATTTGGGAAATAAAAGATATTTTTCAAAAGCCAGTGTTTTGTTTTTAAAATGTTGATAATAAAGTCCCTTAGAACTGGAACGTTTATCTTCTTGCCATTTTTGAATAAACTGATCTGTAAGAATTGCTTTGCTTTTGAAACTAGAGACTTTGTAGAATATGCCGAGGATTTACAAAATTCATCGCATAAACCGATTCTGTCCGTTAATCGCCTCTTACGAAAAGCATGGGTTACTGAAGATCAATATTCTAACCCGGACATTCGCGTGTATGTTTTACTTTAAATGATTAAATGTACATATGTATATTGGCAAAAATCTTACTCCTGCGTAATTGGAAATGACAGCCTGCGCAGCTCCATGCTTCAGTACGGAAGTAGGTTTAAGACAAAGACATCTCCTAGCACCTTATCTTTTCTTCTTGCCCTTAAGATATTTGGGTACATGGTTGAAATATACATAACACTAATTAAAAACAGTAAAACATCAAATTCGGTAACTAATTTGGTATATCAGCAAAATTATTGAATAATGAAAGGAATTATTGGTAGTTAACACTAGAAAAACAGGCAGAGCATATTTCAGGATACTATCTACTTCACGACAAATTACAGACATTAAAACACTTTCTCTACACATTCCAAGGGCGGTGGGGTAGCCTTATGGTTAAAGCGTTGGCTCGTCACGCCGAAGACCCGGGTTCGAATCCCCACATGGGCACAATGTGTGAAGCCCATTTCTGGTGTCCCCCGCCGTGATGTTGCTGGAATATTGCTAAAAGCGGCGTAAATACAAACTCAGTCAGCCAGTCTACACATTCCAACCCGGACCTTGACGGGTATGTTTTACCTTAAATGATTAAATGTACATATGCATATTGGCAAAGAATTCCACTCTTGTGTAATTGGAAACGACAGCCTGCCTTCATGCTTTAGTAAAACATTAAAACGTTTTCCCTACACAGTGAGTGACTCAGAGTGAGTGAGTTTTACGCCGCACTCAGCAACATTCTAGCTATATGGCGGCGGTCTGATAATAATCGAGTCTGGACCAGACAATCCATTGATCAACATCATGATCATCAATCTGCGCAATTGGGAACCGATGACATGTATGAACAAAGTCAGCGAGCCTGACCACCCGATCCCGTTAGTCGCCTCTTACGACAAGCATGGATCACTGAAGGCTCATTCTAACCCGGACCTTCACGGGTTTCTCTACACAGACTTACACATGTTGATAAACATGCTCAGAATAAATGACCTTTCTAAAAGTGCCTGATAAGAAACACGGATCACACATACGTCATGTAGGTGGTGGATCTGGTCGATTTGACACACAGCGAGATAGGTAAGTTGTTCCGTGTAATTTGTGAATCATATTATGAGGTGTGTAGGGTCTAAATATGTTAATGCTGACCTTCAACAGTTTACTGAAAAACCTGTATATACTTGAAATTCAATGTAGGTAATACAAATTCTATTAAATAAGCTGGGGGGGGGGGGGATTGTCATTGTAACCAGATGTTCGTTCACTGGTAGCTTCGTTTGTGTGTATTACTGAAATGCTTTTGGTCCAAATTGGCAAGCTATTTATGAACATAACGCGTTTATAACCTCCTATGTAACTGTATTCCTTCCTGTTGTGCCACAAAATGTTACCATTGTCTTGGAATGGCGTGTTGGTACCTATTATGTATACTGCGTTGTTATAAGGGGCGGTGGGGTAGCCTAGTGGTTAAAGACCCTGGTTCGATTCCCCACATGGGTACAATGTGTGAAGACCATTTCTGGTGTCCCCCGCCGTGATGTTGCAGGAATGTTGTTAAAAGCTGCGTAAAACTAAACTCACTCACTCAGTCACTGTGTTGTTATGTAGTACGTTGTAAGTCATGGCGGCATATGTGTTTGTGAGGCATTGGAGGAAAGCTTAATGAATGTAACGAAATCCTAGTATTACAGATCCTCTTGTTACAAAATTGTATCACAAGCACTGGAGTACAGTCCATGTCAAAATACGTATCCCCGTTGGCAGATGTTTCTGTCAGACTCAGTGATATGACTGACACCTTGTCATCTTACCCAACCAGATAATGAGTGAGTGAGTGAATTTAGTTTTACGCCGCACTCAGCAATATTCCAGCTATATGGTGGCGGAATGTAAATAATCGAGTCTGGACCAGACAATCCAGTGATCACAACAAGATAAGCGTCACCTTCGCTTTGGGCGTTGCTCAAAATATCGATAATTGGTTTGTCTGGTCAAGACTTGAACCATTACCAAGACTGGGGTGAAATAACTCACAACCGCGTCTCACCCGCATCTTATCCCCAAAACTACTATATCTCATTTACATACTGGCAGATTATTAACTCCACCGTCATGCTGTTCCTGACAACGACGGTGATGTTGCTGGTTGTGGCGTCAGTGACGGCCGTTTCTGAGTTGAAGATCCTTGGTTTGCGGTGTTCCCAGACCGGCTCCACCGTCTCCTATATGACCATGGGCGTTCCCGCCAGTCTCACCGTGGACCAGTACTGGAGCGGAAAGCAGGTAACCTTTGAAAAGTTCCTATCCAAATTGATTGTTCAGGTTCCCCTTTGTTCGAAGAGTGTATGTCACGATATCACGGAGTGTATGTGTCGATATCATGGAGCGTAAAAGCGAACCCGAGTCTTTGGCCTTCTGAGTGAACGCTTAACCCACTGGACTACCTCACCGCCCCCTAAATATGTCACATCATTTTACTCTGGGACATTTAGGTAGCCTTGTGGCCGATGCATTAGATGGTCACATCTGACCTCTATTCCATTCCCGAAATGGACACAATGTGTGAAGCCTATTTCTTGCTTCTCCAGTTTTCTGCTGAAAAATGCTAAAATTTGCGTAAACTGTTTGAACTCATTGGGATTTTGGGCAGCCGAGCCATTAAATCCTGAGATCGTCACATCGTAGATCGATGCTCACTCACTCAATCACTCACTCTTCCGTGAAGGTCCGGGTTAGAATTAATCTTCAGTAACCCATGCTTGTCGTAAGAGGCGACTAACGGGATCGGGTGGTCAGACTCGCTGACTGGGTTGACACATGTCATCGGTTCCCAATTGCGTAGATCGATGTTCATGCTGTTGATCACTGGATTGTCTGGTCCAGACTCGATTATTTGCAGACCGCCGCCATATAGCTGGAATATTGCTGAGTTAAAACTACACTCACTCACTCACTGATCCACCCACCACCCGCTCGCTCGCTCCCCCCCCCCCTCCCTCCCTCCCTCCCTAACTAATTCATCCAGCTCGCTCACTCACTCACTTACTCTACAGACCAGTGGAGTTTCCCCTCCTGTGCAACTGGTACAGCATCTCCAGCCTCGGCGGTACCGGCGACCTGTATGAGTGCATCCTTCTGGGCGACAGTCACGGCGTCTTCTCAGTCAGCATCAACAACGGCACCGAGTGCCACAAATCTTACGACTCCGTGACCTTCGACAGCTGTTCTCAGCCTAAGTATGCGTGTCCTGTCTGAACAATACTGACAATAAAGTACTATCAAATTGCCTCCCATTACAATATAGGCCATATCTGCAGCATCCAGAATACGACACGCTCAAGAATGAAGCACCACTTACTACTTTCAATCGCAATGTAAATTTCTTTCGTTTCTTATGGGCTGACAATATACTGAAAATAATCTACGTGTGGGTGTGTTATAACACGAATATAACACGAACACTGATCTTTGGTGAATAAAGAACCACAGTTACGGTTTTCTTTGGAATCCAAGAAGGGACATTGTAGAGTGGTCGCCCTCACAAGAGCAAGTCAAAAGTGTCAAAATTAACCAAAGCGCGACAATGTATTTTCTAGGATTCCACAGTTACGGCCACCTTAACGCTACGACTGCTGTAAGTCTATGTTGAGGTGTGTCAGTCTATGTTGAGGTATGGGAGTTACGGCCACCTTAGCGCTACGACTGTAGTAAATCTATGTTAAGGCATTGGCGTTACGATCAACTTAGCGTTACGACTCCAGTAAATCCATGTTACGGTGTGGGAGTTACGGCCACCTTAGAGCTACGACTCCAGTAAATCCACGTTACGGTGTGGGAGTTACGGCCACCTTAGCGCTACGACTGCTGTAAGTCTATGTTGAGGTATTGGAGTTACGACCACCTTAGCGCTACGACTCCAGTAAATCAATGTTACGGTGTGGGAGTAACGATCACCTTAGTGCTAAGGTCGCTTTGTACAACGACACCCAGGGTACAGAAGTATGAGTTAACTAACACTCCACTTCTATATCATGGATCACTGTGATCAAAGAGGACCTTTTCAGCTAATGATAAGTAACTATAAGATGGTAAAGGAGCAAGGTAGTTCGCCAACTCACTTAATGATCAGAAGAGATATGGCGAGCTAATAGCTGGTACAGTCCGTTTGGCTCAAAAGCGGACCGATGAATTGCAATCTAACTCGAAAACTAATAAACATAAAATACTCAATGAAACGCTGATCATAATCAAAACATCATACCCACTCTGTGAGTTTTTTGCAGAAATTTTGTCCTAAAAATAAAAAAGTTGTTTAACAATCTATCATTACAATATTGACACAGTTCACTATTTGTGACGAAGGAGGAGTGCAGAGAAAGGGACAGCCAGGTGTTCGAGAACGGATGGAGACGGCACAGCACAGGTTTATGGATAAATAACTTTGTCTGTGAACGTGCTTCTCGAACACCTGGCTGTCCCTTTCTCTGCACTCCTCCCTCGTGGTGTGCAGATACAGTACAGGCTCATTTATCAGGGAAGGCTTTCTGATCGACCTCTCCCCGGAGTTATGTTAAGTGTGTTGTGAAGAAGAGTCAGAGATCAGTTTGGCAAAGGAAGACTCTCTGGACAACCACTTTATCCAGTTTATGTGCAGTGTGTTGAGAGGAATGGCAACCCTGCAGAGTGCTTCTGACACTCTAGGTTACGCTGAAGACTTCAGTGTCGGTGAGTCTTCACATGCTCCAAGCCGTCCTTGGTGGGTTTATCTGGGCAGTACTTCATGGGAGAGTGGTGGTGATGGAATTGGGTTTAACGTCATGCTTGAGAATATTTCGCTCATATGACGACGTGCATGCGTGTGTATGTGTATGTGAGGCTGCTTGTACTAGCCCAGACTGAAGCTGGTTTTATAGTGCTAGCCCACTGAGATACCATGCCGCAGTGAAGCATGAATACCCCACTCAGACACATTATATTGACTCCGAGCCAACCAGTCCTTGTTGTACCCATTAATGCGAGCGCCAGGCAGGGACCAACAAGTAACATATTTTAACGTGTTTTGGTATGACGCGATCGGGGATCGAACCCGCGACCTTCCGCACTCCGGGCGGACGCTCTAACCACTACACCACGGAGGCGGTCAATTCATGGGAGAAGTCCCATTCGCAATGGCCTTGAGCTGATGAGCCTGACCAGTCGTACTATGACAGAATCAGACGAACCCCTGCTGTTATGCATTACAATCAATAATGTTCCTATTTCCTCCATCAGTGTGTACCCGTGAAGGCCCGGGTTAGAATGTGCCTTCAGTAACCCATGCTTGTCGTAAGCGGCGACTAACGGGATCGGGTGGTCAGGCTCGCTGACTTGGTTGACACATGTCATCGGTTCAGACTCGATTATTTACAGACCGCCGCCATATAGCTGGAATATTGCTGAGTGCGGCGTAAAATTAAACTCACTCACTCACTCCATCAGCGTGTACAACAACATGAAAATAGGCTGCGTGCGGAGTATGTAAAAAAGAACACATTTACAGATTACGAAATCAAACTATACACAATAACCATTCATTTCCAGTGTTTATTCATCTTTCTTTGCCAGGTTGACAGACTTTAAGCTGGTAGGTGGGACTCCTTTGTTTCTGGTGAACCTAAAAAGAGAGCTGTTTTGAGTATTGTTAAAACGAGGAATATATATGGCTGCCTTAAATAATATATTCCATCTTAGTATTTATAGTACAGAAGACTGAGAATGACAATGTGGTAGAATCAATATATTTACTTGTATCTACATCGGAATTCTTGTAATTTCAATTATTTACTTTGTCGTTACTTTGATAACATGTTCCTAAGTTTGACTATTTCCTTGTTACATCAAGTATATTAGAAAAACCTCGGAATTTCATATATTTTCTGGATGATTCGTTATTATCACTTCAATTAGTTCCTCTCGTTAGTTTGTGTTTTAATAAATCGTTGTTACGAGTTTATGATGTTTTTTTATTTCGATTTATTTGCTCATATATTAAAAATAGAAAATTATGATAAAATGCTGCAGTCGAAGCGATAAACTTGCAGTGAACTCTAATGTAAATTAAACAGTCTGCAATGTTTGAAGAACCGTTCGTATGTTTCAGTGGGTAGCTACAGACTGGTTGGGTTTCCTGACCAAGTTACGACCAAACTCCAATCACGACTTTCAGCGTGACGAACGATCTCTGTAACCACCTGGCTACCTTAATGACCCAGTTTTGATAAATAGAAACGCGTTCTCTGTTACTCATTATTATTGTAATCTAATTGATCGCCGTTTGTGGTTTCATGAACCGAAAGAAACTTAGGTCAGGCTCACTTTTTGACTATCACTTCCTTGTGTTCTGATTCAAGAAAGGTAAAGCGTCTGTTTACACGTTGCAGTGACGATGTCAATGATTTATGAGACATGGATTACTCTTGGCTTTTCTTCCCACTAAGTTCATCTGCTATAACTGCAATACACTGTGCGGTTCAAAGCTGCGCTGAACCCATACATGATACAATAGAGACTGAGATGGGTTTTAAGACGTTTTAGCAACATTCCATCAATAGAATATCGGAGATGCCAGGAGTGGACAGCACACATGTTGACCGTGTGGGAAAACGGACCTCTGGCATGATGAACAAATGCTGTAAACCACAAGGCATACGACCCCATGAAGATTCTCCCCATGCTTGTGGTAAGAGGCGACTAACCCGAAGATTCGTATCCCAATTGTGTAGATCGAAGTTCATGATGTTGATCACTGGATTGTCTGGTCCAGACTTGATCATGTACAGACCGCCGCCATATAGCTGGAATATTGCTGAGTGCAGCGTAAAACAACACACAAACCAACCACTCAACATGTCCGAAAACAACATGCAGGTAATGAATTGCATTATTCTTACCTGCCTGGTTTCCACGATTTGCATCTTTTGCACCTATCAATATCACCAACGGCTGAAACACATTAGGATAGCGATAATTTGAGCGGAGAGAGAGAGAAGAGAACGCAGAAGGATGGTAAGAGTTGGTGGGACTGAGAGAAGAGATACTTATGGACTCGAGAGAGTTGGGGAGGTAAAAGTAAGGGCAATCTGGCATGGAAGAAACATGCAGACATGGAGATTAATCGGTTGAAGGAAGCGAAAGATACGAAGAAGTTAACAAAAACTGCAATGTGACATATGTTAAATTTGGGACTACACTTTCTTAGTAAAGTACAGATTCTAGAACTTTTTGGGTTGAGTCACCTAATCGTCATGACACAGAGTAAGCCATCTAACTCACTCAGCCATCGCAGCTTCCACAAAAATGGATGTCGGACTACTGGTAGTCCAGTAGTGATAAAGTCAGCAACAATGAAAGAAGAATATGTATGCTACAGGTTATTATGGAAGGATGAGCAAGGTCTCATGATTAGTAAGGCAGATGAATATATACACATGCATGTGTGGATATAAACTCACCTGGACCATTCCCTTCGCCAGGACAGGACGAACCGGTTCGTGTCCATTGACCTCATGTTCAGCAACACAGATGAGGCCCAACAAAACAACAAGGAGTTGCACTCGGATCGGCAGCATCGTAGCAAATTCTGAAACGATAATATTGTGGTTAAGTCAAACACATATGGAGTGTATGTCTATTCTGCATCTGTGAATAACAGTATTGTGACTATACCTTCCTGGTGCAATGCTTATTCTTGGACATACAGTCAAATCCCGATGAGTCGAATCGATGGGGACCAAGTAATAAATTCGACTTATCGATGTATTCGAGACATAGGTATGTCTATGAGGGGAGAAAAAAAGATGATCCAGTCCTAATTCCTCCGCCTAAGCATTTATTTATCTAATGATTTCCAAATCACTAATAGGGGCACCTTATCAGTTCCAGTCTGATTAGCACAGACAGTGATTTCCATAAAATCACTAATCTGACTTTTGAACTCACCTGTCGTTATCTAAGTCTTTGTAGCATACCCAGTAGAGTGTGCTTTACGTTGATAGTGTATTAGCATTATACAGTCCACCTAATCTAATCTCTCTTGACACAGAGTTAACATGCAAATATCTAAACTCTGTTGTGTATTTTATCCGTATTAATCCTCTTGCACGGCACGATATGCCCTCTGCCTCATCGTTCAGTTACTAAATGTACACATCCAAGTCACATCGATTTGATGTTTCTTAAATACTTTGATATTGACTGCCAAACAAACGAATAGACATTCATGCATTATCCTTATCTTGATTGCTGATAAATAAGACTTGTAACAATAATATGTCATCTGTTTCTGTGTTTACTTGTACATGTATTTGTTTATGGGAGCGGCCTTCAAATATGCTCTTCGGAGCTTGTTGGCCAATCCATTCATATCTTTATGAATAAATATGTTTGAAGTGTTTAACTTCCGAATCGCCACCCGATATGCCCTCTGCCTCATCCGGGGCGGTGGGGTAGTCTAGTGGTTAAAGCGTTGGCTCGTCACGCCGAAGACCCGGGTTCGATTCCCCACATGGGCACAATGTGTTAAGCCCATTTCTGGTGTCCCCCGTCGTGATATTGCTGGAATATTGCTAAAAGCGGCGTAAAACTAAACTCAGTCAGTCAGTCAGTCTGCCTCATCGTTCAATTACTATATATACATCTAAGTCACATTTAGAGGGTATTTCATGGGTGTTTAGTTTCTAAAAACACCACCTAATATTTTGTTTAAACAGTTTTATTTCAGAAAAAAATGAAACCTGGATGGGCGAACAGGCTTAGTGCCTTATTTTGAACCCCGCTCCAAAACATAATTCCGACAGCTGGATACATAAATAAAATAATTTAACAACATGAGAATAATACTGAGAAAAAACACCATTCATTGTATCTGAATATTGAATATGTTCGTTATGGTGTTGGTTATGTCAAGCAACGAAATGAGCTGCAGCAGAATATCCAATTATATAACTTGATGTACATTGACTATATATGTAGTGGTGATACTCACTGGAAGCGGTTACTTTTTTAAATAAACTGGTGTAATGAGTTGAGAATGTTACTATCAGTTGAGTTATTTAATGCGTTGTTACTGTATAAAGTAGTTTTAACATTGTATCCCTGAGTATAAAAATACATAATTTTGATAGTCTATCATTTGGAAAGGTTGTGAATAACGTCTTCGTTATAATGACCTCATGAACACCTGGATGTTTCCGATATATGTCGATTATATCTGTCTGCGTTTAGATCACTACAGCCGAGTTTGAAACATACTGCCCGATATGCCTCTGCCTCGTAGGACAATCACTATATACACATCCAAGTCACATTGGGAAGGTAATTCATGTGTGTTTAACTTCCGTAACACCACCCGATATGCATATCATACAAACAAACACAGAGGGTACATCAACAACCAAAACATTACTAACACGAAGTACCAAGTTCCCAAAGTTCGGCATTCCCAGCGGGCGACATAGAAAAAATGTTACTTGCTTGTAAGCAGTTCACATTGATTGGTCCAGCCAATCAGAAACCGACATTTACGTGGGAGGTTAGATAAGTGTATCTTACTGTCGGTCTGCTTTGCTACTGAAGATTTTTTTGTTTTGTTTTTGTTTGTTTGTTTGTTTGCTTGTTTGTTTTATTGTACCCACTAAGTTGAATACAAGCATACAGAAGAAATTTGTACATACCAGCTTGTGGGCTGAACAGAGATATAATAGATTAAATATCAATATCATCACAATATGTTTTGGTTAAATAGTTATACAGGATTACATCCTGGGATGAGAGGAAACCATTTGGTTGAATAGCTTTCAAAATTATTATTTCATCGTGAAATGAATTTTTCAGTGGTGAATATGTCTTTCAATATCCTTAAGCATTCATCACATTCCCAATATGCATGGCCTAAAGTCTCACTAGAAATATTACCAAAAGAACACATTGTATTGTCAACAAGATTCATTATAGAAAGTTCTTTTTTTGGTATAAACAATTCCGTGTAGAAATTTGATGTGAAAATCTAACAGTTTCACATCTCTTAATTCTTTCTGCAAATATCCAAAATCACATGCCAATCGGAAACCATACAATTAAATAATGTTTCCCATTTTTGGCAGAATAAACTTTTTTCGGGGGATATGAAATCCTGTTGGAGAGAATTTATATCGAGGTCATTGATGTTTATGCATCCCTATTCCATTATAGTATTTTCCAAGGTTCAGGTAAAATATATGTAACAAGTACAAACAAGTGTGTAACAAATACAAGTATGTAACAAGTACAAAATATACAAATATTAAAATGTTCTGGAAAATCAATCTATTTTAGTATGTCTTGTCTTATGTTCCTGTTTGGAATCAATTAATAACACCTTAAACAATAATACAATTGTCAGTGAAAAGGATTACATTTTCACAAGTCCATGATTTATTTATAGCCACCACTGGGTCATGGGTCAAAAGTAGTTCCTATGCAAATTAGCCAAGTCTTAATGAGGTCAGGTCTGCTGTCTTGTCCTTGGGTTTTATTGGCTGAAGATGTGCAGCATCTTGATTGGATGTTGAATTTAGTTGCATTTGGAAAGTGTGAAGTTTGTTCACTTGCTGTCTTTCTCCCAACCTGGCAAGGTGGATGGAAAGTCATGGGTGGTGGATTTTGACTTTGGTGAATTATAGGTTAGTTACACTTGGTTTTATATAAAAGGAATAAACTACAAAAATATGTTTAATTGTTGAAAGGTTAATTCAGTATTTATTGTAACTGAATTTATGCATTTGGTGGAGGTATATTTTGACCTATGGTTAGAAATTGTTGGTGTCAATAATTTCACTTACCATTGATTCAGATTAATGTTTGAGTCCAAACAGTTTGTACGTTTACTTTGCTGGTGAGAATTAGCATTTCCATGCTAATTAAAACATACATATTATAGGTTCTTGGTGTTTTGTTGGTGCCTCACAACATGTGGCCATTTTGAAGCAAGTTGTCCCATAGATGGTAAGACACGTTGAAGTTTCACTGTTTTGAAGATGCCCAATGTGTTCCATAAATCATAAGGATCTTAATATGAAACTGAACCATTAATTTTGTGATGTCAATTTGTTTTGAGTTATTTTTGTATGTTCAGTGGTAGAGCTGTGATTGTTAATTATCTGAACAATGTGCAATGAAATGAATGAATGTGATAAAATAGGTGTTGTGATGGAATGTTATATATTCATATACATTGTTTCAGACTTGTATTATTATATACAAACTACAGTAATAAAAAAGGAACTTGCAGCCTCAACGGAGTTGTGTCGTTGTTATAAGAGCCATCCCCGTTACATATATATCACCTATCCAAGATCTGAGTGTGTACCTCTTATATCAAATTTAAGCTTCAGAGTTCCAAAGGATATAAACCTATGTTCATCACACAAATTCTTGATTGTCTCATACAGTGATTTGAGTTTTTGAAATGAGTATGCAGCCATAAAGATTGGGATAAAATTTCATTGATGTTCTCTGCTTCTCTAGTATTTGTGATACAATATAGTTTCCATGCCTTTAAAACATCTTTCCACACCATTGTGTCGATGTTGAAGAGACATATGTAAATGACCGCCACCGTGGTGTAGTGGTTAGAGCGTCCGCCTGGAGAGCGGAAGGTCGCGGGTTCGATCCCCGACCACGGCATACAAAAAGACGTTAAAATATGGTATTTGTTGGTCCCTCCCTGCCTGGCGCTCGGCCAGGGTACAATGTATGTAATGGGTACAACAAGGACTGGTCAGCTCGGAGTCAGTATAATGTGTCTGAGTGGGGTATTCATGCTTCACTTCGGCTTGGCATCTCAGTGAGCTAGCACTATAAAACCAGCTTCAGACTGGGCTAGTACAAGCAGCCGCACATACACATACACACGCATGCACGTCGTCATATGAGCGAAATATTCTCCGGCGCGACGTTAAACCCAATTTCACCTCACCTCACATATGTAAATGCCTCAAATTATTCGAGATTCCACAGCCGTAAAATTTTAAATGAATATGGAACACGCAAGGACCCAAATGAGAAAAATCAAAGTTAATCTCAAAGGTGTAATATCTCAAAATCTCTGTCATGTCAAACATTGGTTGGAATGCCAAAGAGACATTACTTAGACAACTTGGCTGGTAAAAATACAAAGATGCATACATACCTTTTCAGCAACACGTATGGAACTGTCTTGTGGTAGTTTCTAGTACCATTTATAGAGACCTGTCCCTCATGACGTGGCGTCTCAACAGACCATACAGCCGCTTTAAGATCTTCAACTTGTCTTGGCAATATGTGCTATTGAGTAAATGACATTTCTACATTCAAGTTTTCATGTTCCTTGGCATAATCAATAATAAAATATTCCCGTGTTGTTACGAGGACTCAGTATTTCCAGAAACAGGTGTGTTAAAAATATTGCGAATTTAAAAAATATGTTTGATTTGTTTTGGTTAATAGTCAGAAAACAATCAAATGGTTGTTTGGTTTCAATAATAGCACATTCGAGAATGGAATCGATAGAAATACGACGAAATACACCAGCAAGGTGCTCTGTCTGAAGGTGACGAAGATAAATGTACTGTATATACGTTAGACAAGTAAACACAGAGTCCGGTGTTCCGAAAACATAAATCACCCGGAATATGACGTCCTCACAACCACTTTTATTAAACATTAAATTTCGTGCTGCGTTTTTGTGTATTGCGTACAACTTCACAGGTTGCGAGGTATTGACATTTCGACCGTTTAATATCACATATTCCGTTGAACACCTTCTTGGCCATGTCGTCCAAACCAAGACGCCATCTTGCTTGTGGTGTGCTATGTCGTAAGTGTTGTTCGCATATTCCCGTTCCTGTGTATGTCGTCCCAACAATTAGTTCTAGCTAGATGTGTAATGCAATATATTTCCTCTATTCAGTTCGCATACTCCTACATATTCCGTAGAACGCCTTCTTCCACATGGCGTGTCAATCA